GCTGCAGCCTAACCCTCCTGGGACTGGAATGTGGCTTTGGTAGCAGCTCCATTGGGACACTTTAGCTTGGAGACAGAGCGAGCTTGCATTCTGTAAGAAAAGTCACATACCATAGGAACCCGTGATGCATCCCGGGTTAGGAAAGAGCACTTCAGGCACAGAACTCATGAAGCATCCTTGTGAAGAGGTTGGACATCGCCCTGCCAAGGTGTTTGTTTCATCAGAGAGGAGCTGGGTCATCTCTGTCGGTGTCTTTTTAGTTCTGATGTGATGAAGCTGAGTCTAAAGGTCGACAATTTGGTATTAGAAACATTCCATGGATGGAAATGAGCAGTGCAGCCTTGGACTAAATCTGAGAAAGATAATTAAGATAACTGATCTTTGGAAGTGAGTGGCTGCTCCCCAGGCATCCAGCTCAGCTCATTCTCTCTGCATGACGCACTGGAAAACCATGTGCCGACCCTACCAATCTCCTAAACTAATGTTCTTATGAAGCCGTGCTTTCATACAGTGTAGAAAGGAGAGTTACTTTATGAATAGACACCGCGTACCAACAGAGAGCTGGCAGTAAGAAGAGGATGGGATGTGGTGAAGGTCTTGGGTAGACCCAGAAGGGAACTGGGTGTAATTCCCGTCTGCGAGTCGAGCGGCATTTGGTGTTCCTGCCCTTGATTCCATAACAATCCAATGGTGGCTTCTTCCCGCAGAGGTGGAGAGGGGGGTACCTGACAGGAAAACTGCTTCTGTCTCCTTGAAACCCCTTTACCATTGTGCCTTGTCTCACCTGAGCTGTTTGGATGCTTGCTGCAGGGTAAAACTGGGTGGCAAGATTGCCTCAGCATTCAGTAACTGGGATATCAGTGGGTTTGACTCGAGTGGGGTCTGCTCAATGGAAAGAAGGAAGCAGTAAGGGGTGGAATTCACCCCTGCACTGAGGTTCTGACCAAACGCTTAGGTTAAGCTGAGTGTTAGAAGTGAAACGGTGGTTGTGTGCTGGGCAGTAGGCTGAGCTCAGGATTTGAAGCCCTTCTCTGCTTCTGCCTTGTCCTAAGGTTCACTTTGAACCGGGTTTACAAAGGTGTTAATGCACTCAAGAGGGATTTTCGGGAGTGGTAAACACCACATGCGTTTCCCCTCTGCTTCATTAGGTACATGCAAGGACACCCATAGAACCACTACAGACAGAGATAAGCAGCTGAGAGAGATAACTCAGTCCTTCTGTCTATCTCTGCTTGTTCCCTTCTGCATTCCCCCCATCTGACCCTGGGACAAACAGCTCAGCAGCTCTGCCTCTTAGCTCAGCATCCACATCCTCTTCCTCCTGGGAGCAGGCTCAGGGGCTGCCACCAGGCCAAGCGTGGGGCTCTTGGTTCAGCTCCCACAGTAACCTGCCCTCCGCCCTCCTTCGTTTGCTTCTCCCAAGCTTCCACCCAAGCCAACCTCCAGGTTGTTTTTCTCCGATGCACAAACAGAACCATGGGGCTTTGGCACCTCCAGCCCTGCGCTCCTCGTTGCTTCCTCCATCTCTTCGCGGCTGCGTTCCAGTCTCCCCACAACCTGCCTCTCCGTGCCAGCCCCAGCCCTTCCCCTCCATCTCCATTGCTGATCCAAACCCCATTGAAGTCAACAGAAGACCTTCTATTGCCTTCCAGGGCCCTTGGACCAGCTCTGCAATTCCTCTTTAAAACCTCCTTCTCGCATAAAGTTTTTTCTTGTGCTTGCCTCTGTTGTCTCACCCATTCCCAAAGTTAATGCTCCTGCTTTTCCTCAGCTACCAATCTCCAGTGGTTTGTCCTTATTTTCTGGGTTCCTGTTGAAGGCTATCATCAGATCACTGCTTTAGACCTATTTGGAGCACTTGGAAAAGTTATTTCCCTTCTACCTATTACTTGCCTGCTCCTCAGCAGCCCTTGGCTACACTTAATACAGGGTTTAATGCAAAGTGAAAAGCTTTCACCTCAGCTGTGGTTGAAACTCACTCAGCAAGCACCAGCCAAGTTATTTTTGGTGTGGTTCTAGGCAGCTCACCGACAGTCATCTGAGTTTGACTAATGAAATCATCACAAACTTCGCATGTCTGTCGCCCTTTCTGGCCTCCGAGAGCATTGTAGGCATGTATGGGTTGTTACAAGCGTGTTCTTCCTTCCCTTTTCTTCCAAATGTAACACAAGAAATGGTTGCTTCATCCTCTTTCTGTATCGGCCTTTGTTAGCTGCATTTTGCTCCATTCTCCTGCACCAATGTCCTGCAGTACATAGAGTAGCGATGCCATGCAGGCTGCAGGTGCTGGAAGGTCCCGTGGGTGCTTGTAGGTACTGAAGGCACAGACCTTTGACATATTTCTTAACAACTTCTCATCGTTTCCCAACGTGATGAAGGTGGATTTTTGAGGGTTCACGCTTCTCAGAAACCACGTTTCTGGCTGTGCCATGCGTTGTGCAATTGTGTGCACACGTAGGGGCTGTTTGATGTTCTCCATCTGCACAGCAGGGCTGACAATGCACATCATTGTGAATTGAGGACCGTGGGCATAGTTCCCCTTTCGAAGTGTTGCTTCGTGTATTGTTTGCACTTGTGGCATGTGAGGTCTGGCTTGCTTTTCCCAAGGGACCAGGGCATCCTGAGTGCTGTGGCGTGGTGTCTGGCACGATTCTCTGCTGGCTGGCATCCATCCGGGGCTCTGCTTGCTGTGGATGAGGGCAAAGAGTGGCTCAGTTCTTAAAGCAGGGCTCTAGGAGGGAGAAGGCTGTGGGGACACCCACTTAGAGCTGTGCAAGGCAGTGTGTGTGCAGTGGATCCACACCTCAGACCTCCCTGAACTGAGCCCCGGCTCTGCCCATCCTCTCCCTCCTTCACCCCTGCATTGTCCATGGAAGGCCCTGCACCTGCCTGCTCTGCTGCCGTCCTGCCAGCTCTGCCACAGCCCGGCCTTCAGCTCAAATCCCTTCCCTTTGGAGACAGCTGGCAAGGCCTCCAGCATCCAGGCAAGAAGAAGCAGGACTATTTAACCTGGATGACCTGTCCTAGTGCCTCCAGCCTGATGGACTCCGGCTGCTCCCCGCACACAGAGAGAACGTTTCATTGAGTCATCTTGCTCCGTGCTTGAGGCAAGAACACGAACAAAGGAGCAACTGTCCAGCCTGAGCTCCCTCTGCAGCAGGAGGTTTTTCCTGGCATAGGGAACTTGATGTGGTTACTGACAAAGAGCTCCCAGTGTGGACAGGGCTACCCACCAGCCAAGCTGTGCTTTGGACCAGCGGGGTGAAGTTGCCTTCCTCCCCTAAACAAGCCCGATGGGTACAGGTGTGGTTGTGCCTGTGTCAGGATGCCATGTCTACCACATCCTTGTGTGGTACCCAGCACACACTGTAAATATGCTGGGCTTTTACATCAAATGCAGCTTCTCTGTCTGTTGCCCAAGCCTGTAAAGGGTGGTTTTTCATGCTGTTGTGATGTGAGCAAGTGTAATGAAAGTGGAAAAGGGAAAAAAACCAACAACCACTGATGAGCTGGAGCATTTGTGGATCCTTTGGCTATAGGGGATTGCAGCACTTGAATGTGTTTCATTGCCTCTAGTGTTATCTTCATTAAATAGACCTTGAAAGTGCTTATTTGACAACAAGCAACCCCTGGTCAGTGTAATAGGATGGATCAAGGGGTTGAACTGCACTGTTTCCTGAAAGATGGGCATCTCTGATTGGAATCATCTCATTTTACTTGTCCAAGCTGCTGTGCATGCTCCAGCTGCTCTCAGGCAGTCCCTGAGCCTTTTCTTGGGTGCCAACATGTACGTGATGTATTCGAAATGCTGGGCTGAGGTAAGGATTTGGGGTTCTTTTGCTTTCCTAGTGGGCTGCGTGGAGGGTGTTGCTTCCAGTGCTGGTACTCAAGGGTCCAGTGTGTCTTTCAATGCCGTTCCTGATGGGATGATTCCAAGGAACTTCTAAACAGCTCTGTTTACTGGGACCTCGTCCTGGTAGACAGGAGGCACAGAGGGCTTGCCAACTCACATGGTTTTATGAGGAGTCTCAGTCCCTTTATTGCTTTCCCTGCAGCCTTGACCCCAGGGATCATGTGAACAGTTGGCGGTCTCAGCTTTCAGTTGTTATTCTTGTTATTGTACTGCAAAAAAAAGCAGTTTTCTAGGTCTTGGGGATCTTGAAAATCCAAACCTGAGCACTGCAGACTGAGAGAGCAAATAAAAAGGACTCAAACACATCATTTACTGCTGTTAATCTCCTGCTCTCTTTGCTATTTGTTTAGGCCTGGCTGATGGTTTTGAATGCTTGGGGTTGGCAGTCGTGAGTCCTCACCTGAGCCTTTCCCTTTCACCAAGAAGCTTCAAGCTGCCGCAGGACAAAAGGTGAATTAAAGCATCCATTTAATCCTGCTTTGCAGATGGGGGAGAGTTTGGGATTAAGGATTCAAGGTCTCACAGGAGGTCTCTGGTGACATAAAGAAACAGATCCTCTAAGCAAAGTAACCTAGAACCTCCACTGGTGATGCTGCGTTGCTTCTGAGCAGCTCAGAGAAAGCTATTTCTAATGTTTATATATATAGATATAAAAAACAGAAATATGTATATTAGGGTTAGATGTCTATTTTATATCTATATTTGAAGGACTATAAGGTATATAATGGATATATATAGTAGACATATGGGTATAAATGAGAGCTGCAGTGATTTGTTCATGGAGGCGTCAGTTCTAAAAGCATCATTCCTGGACCCAAAATACCTTTCTTTGAGAAGTGCCCGCTCCTCCTGGGATCAGGAGCTCATGTGGTGTGGAGCGTGCTCCTCCTGCCACCCTGCACATGCCCTGGGAGGAGGACAGGCACTGAGCCTAGGAGAGAAGGAACAAAGGCAAGGCCCAGCGGGGCTGTTTGCTCACGCCATGCGCTGTTGTCTTTCATCAGATAAGGCTGTGGCCACGAGGTGGAATATTCCCAGATCCAAGCCAGGCAGAAGCAATGCGAGGCTGTGGGACAAACTCCAACCGCTTGGGTTTCATCTGCCCCAGGTACGTACCTGCCCCTCGAGTCATATGATAGGGAGCTGGCTGGGATTCCCATGCAGAGAGAGCCTTCTAGTTCCATCCTGCTCTAAGGCGTGCCTCGTGCTGCAGGTGGCTTTTACCCACTGAGTAAGGACATCGGGGGAATGAAGGGATCTGGTGTCAGGAGTAAGTGGTATATAGTAGGTAGGTTGTTGCTTAAGACATAAGACACAGGAGGGCTGTAAGAGACAGGAACCAACCATGTGGATGACACCGCTGGTGGCTGGGGACGGGCAGGTTGGCAAACCCTTGTGTTCGCTCCCCATAACTGCATCTTCAGACAGGAGCACCAGCTTAGTCCATCGGCCTGCCCTGTCCTCGCTCAGTGTGTAAACCTCAGCTGATTCGGAATGTACCGACTTGCATTTATTTGCCTTTCTAAGCTGGAGCGAAGCCAGGCTTTAATTGATGTAACCCAGCCAAAACTGATTTACCACCTCTTCCTGCTTGCCCTGTGACTTTTGGCCTGCTGGGGTATTTTAATTGGAGGCAAAGTAAAGACGTGCTTCGAAATTACACTTGTATGGGGGATGTTTGGAACCGTCCTGTTTGAAGAGCACATCTGCTGAGGGCCAAGCCAAACGCACACAGGGCCGGTCCATAGAAAAGGCCCTTTCAAATGATTACCTGCAGAAGGTAAAAGGAAGTCACATAAAACACAAAATTCCAAAGGCATTTAATTGAAAATCAGCATTACAGAATACTCTGTGTTTATTGCCCGAGTGGTTTTGAGCTGCTAATCCACACTTTCCTCTATTATTGCTGGTTTGATCCTGAGAAAACAATGAAAACCTGTTTTAAAGAATAGGCTTAGTAACATATGCCATAGAGAAGACAGCAAAGAGCAGCACTTAGATAGCAAAGAATTATCTTAGATAATTCTAAGATATGTATTTTAATATATATATTCTATATAAAATATAGATAGATATATTCTAAGATGTATATCTTAGATAGCAAAGAAGATGGCACTCCAGTTTAGCACTCCAGCTTAGGTCTGCACAATGGCAGGAGTCCCAAGGTTGATGCTGACAGGCAGCTCCTCGTGGAGTGACTCTGGTCGTTGTGATCTTCCCTTGTAGTATTGCAGCTCTTGGCTTCGGGTGACTTTTCCAAGCCACCACTCCTGCTCACCTCATTTAGTTGAGGTCCTGACAGCCCTGATAGTATCAGTAAAGATTCCCTGGATCCCTGCGCTGTATTAATGTGCTGGGAGCAATTACTTAGCTTAGTAAATAGTGGCAGAGATACTGAAGTGCTTGCTAATACCGTTCAAACACAGGCAGAAAAGCATTAGTATAAATGAGAGGTAAGACCTCAGTGACTCCTTTGCTACTGCCTCAACTCCGTTCCATAGGGTGATGGGCGATGGCTTTAAATCTGTGCCACTTTAAACAAGCCATGGCAGAGCGACTCGTGCATTTTGTACAGTTTTACCTGTTCCCTGTGTCCCTAAACCGAGCTGTGTCATGGAATCACAGAGTGGTTTGGGTGAAGGGACCTTAAAGTTACCCCGTTCCAAAGCCCCTCTCCAGGTTTCTTGTAGAACTGTAGAGCTCATGTACAGGAAGAAACATTAAACCAACCCCAAATTCTGCTGTGGATTTGAACGTGTGGCCCCTCACCTGGGTCTTCATTTATTCGGGATTTAGAGGCTTGGTTTGTGGTCTGCCTGTAGGTAAGGGAGGAGGAGAACACGCATGGGCACTGAGATTACAAAGCCTTTGGGTAAATACCCCCTGAAATCAGTGCTTTTGTGTGGGGGGCAATGTCTCCAGTGGGTTTAGTTGGACGTTCCCAAGCTCCTTCCTTCACATAAGTCTGATGTGGATTTTTGAGCCCTGATCTGATGCTTGGGAAAACGAAGGCGGCTTTTTTCCTCCCTCTCTTTTTGTTTTCAATCATGAAAGTTTGGGAAGGGCCCGGATAACCTTGGATTCCGGCTAAAATAATAATGGGGAGCCAGGGTTTTGGGGTGTGTTTTTGAAGTTTCATTCAACTTTGGGGAAATATTGACCAAAAATAAAGTGGTTTCTTCTGAGCATCCTGGCCTGGGTGAGCTCAGTGCAAAAAGTGCCAGAATGCCCCAGGAAAGGTGGATTTTGCAGCATTTCCAAGCTCACCGGTGCCATGGGTAGTAAAACAGAGAGAGAAATGTTACAAGACTGGAGGAATAATGTGTTTGGGGATACAATTGCCCAGTATTCTACTAAATGAACTCTGTCATGTTTAAGGGGGTTTGTCAGCTATAGAGCAGAGCACATAACTGAATAAAAACCCTTTATATTCATGCTAAAGTCACAAAATTGATGGGAGATTTTAGGATGAGCCCTACAGGGAGATGAGTAAAAGTGGAAACAAAGCTGCTCTAAGGTCTTCCTGGAACCGTGTCTGCTCCAGGCTGAGCAAGCCCAGCTCTCTCAGCCTGGCTCCATAGGAAAGCTGCTCCATCCCTGTGATCATCCTCACGGCCTCCTCGGGACTTGCTCTAACAGCATGCCTCTTGTGTCGGGGCTGTTTCAAGAGCTCTTAGCCCCATTGCAGTCCAGTTACCACTGGATCCAGAGGAGCTGGAGGGGCTCGTGGGAAGGACAGGGTCTTCCCCAGGTAGTTTATATCCATACTTTTTAAAGTCCCCAACCTCCTACTTCTTTATGTGGAAGCCAGGTACGCAGTTCCCATGTGGCTCTCTGTAGGTCTCTGGTTTGTACCTTATGGAGGTTTCCTGCTTTTTGCTAAGAGCAGTGCGGTGTGGTTGACAGCTCCTGCAGCACCCGATGTCTGTCTGGTTCAGACCGGAGCTCACAGCTCATTGCTGCTCCATGGCAGTGTTTCCAGGTTGAATTAAGAGTTGTTCTATGCCTTTGTTCTTTGACCATGCAAGAGCAGAGGGGAAGAGCCTAAGGCTAGGCACCTACTTCTAAGCTCACATAATATGCTTTTTGTTGGTGCCACTGTCTAATTCTATATAATCTTGTACTCTGGCAGCCCACCTTTGTCCTGAGGAAAGGATAGTGCTCTTCTGAGAAGAATGGGTAGTAATGAACAAAGCAAAACGCTGCCTGTGTTAAATACACCCATTGATAGCTGCAAGCTGTGAAACAGAAGCTTTTCTGTGACGTGTGTGAGAAAACCTGGTGCTTGTGGTGACTTTTGGATAAGAAACATATGGCAGTTTACCCCCTAAATGAAGCAGGAACATCCCTGCAGTGAGGTTCTCTGCTCCTTGTACTTTTTACGTTGGTTAGGGCAGAAATACCTGCAGATCATGGCTTGGTTTTCACTCCGTCCCCATTACGTTTTGTTCAGTATATCCCATGGCAAACTAGTGGGTTATCACCCGTTTTCCATCTGTGGAGCTGGAACTGGCATCCCAGGGGATGCTGCAGCGCAACCTCTCTGACCCGCAGGGCCCACGGGCACGCCGTGTGTCGGCAGGCACAGTTACACATCCCTCAGGAGCTGTCTGAAGGTGGCAGTGGGCAGTGGACATGGAGCTCCCCAGGCCTGAAGCTCTTCTGGGGACCTCTCTTTCCATGCAGGGTAGGTTTTGCTGTCAATTCTCATTGACACAAACCCCTTGGACCAGCAGCCAGCTTCTGATGGGAGGAAGAAGGCGAGAGCCAGGTCCCAAAGACATCTGCCAAGATGACAGCTTATCCAAACAGGTCTGTTTATCCTGCAATTTGTTCAGTAAATGGCCCTGTCTAAATGGAATTTGATGGGAAGTTATTCCGGGCACTGAACATAGTTTACAGTATGTGCACAGCTTCCATGCATCTCCCTATTTGAATGAGAGCAAGCCTCATCCTTAGAAGGTATTATTGTTGAAATCTGCCTTATTGATCAATGCCATGAAAGCAAATTTCTATAATATCAGCATTTGCCAAAGATTTAGGCCAGGAAATCTCTGCTACATCATTGCTATTTGCATTCATTAGCATCTCATTAGATTCACATAGTCTTCAAAAGGTTCTGGTATGAATTGAAGTCTTGCCATAGAGGTCAACACAATGAATCTGTCATTCTTTCTATTAAACTCTTAAACTTGAATCCCCAGTGCTGTCCCCTGTTTAAAGCGAACCTGGTCACTTTATACTTCCAAAGCTTCGGATAGTCCCAGACTTTGATAACAGGGGGAATAAGGGTACAGGGTGAAGCCATAAAAGAGCTTTTTGTTAGAGCTTGGTAGCCTGGTCTTGCTGACTTGTCTTCCTAAATACTGCCCAGAGACCCACCTGCCTGTATGGCGGCAGCAGCTCCTCTGCAAACAAGGCACCTTTGCCCTTTGGAATCCATTTTGGGCTGGGATGCATTTCCTGAGCGTTTCCTTCCAGCTTCTTGCTCCAACACAGCGCAGGCATACATGAGCACGTGGTCCCTCACCCATCCCTGCAGTGCTCCACTTCTTGGGCAGGCTGAGCCTTTCTGCACCACTCTGTAAGTGGCCATGGACTGGAGTCACCTCTTCCTTAGCTCTGCATTGCAAACAGGCACTGCTCGCCTGGGTTGTAGGAGATGCAGTGTAAGTGAGCTGAGGAGCCAGCGGGGAAAGCCACATGTAGGTACCCAGAGACAAGGAGGTTTCTGTGCAAAGAATCATGGGTTGGAAGGGACCTTCAAGCTCTTCTAGTTCCAACCCCCTGCTCACGCTGCTGGTGATGCAGCCCAAGGGCATGGGTGGTTTCTGGGCTGCATGTATACACAGAGGAGGTGTTCAGTATCTTGATAGAGGAAGTTCTGATTTCTGGGACAAAAAAGACTAAATAGGGCTTTTCTTACCTTTAGGAATGTATGTTTTATCCCTTGTCCTATGATAATTTTCTGAACTTCTCACTCATGCGACCAGGTAGCATTGAGGTCTCTTAACTGCTCAACCACCTCAGTAAGGCTTTTAGGCTCAGGCTTTTCAAAGAGTCCATGGGAATACAATGCCTGAATGCCAAGGAAGTGCAAGCTAAGCTGTAATGACTGGGGAGAAGAGAGGAGGGACAGTTAGGAGTGATTTAGAGGCCACCTCATCCTTCTCTTTCTCCATAGTGAAAGTAGGATTTTAGGCTTCTCATCATAGCGCACTATTAGAAACGTTACCCTCAGAAACTGCTGTTATTTGGGAATGTCAGTGATACTCGAGCAGGTCAGAGAAGACCAGCTGTGCAAAACTGAAGTTTACCCTCTCAAACATTGGGAGCCTTTCCAAAGGTGCTCCAGGCTGCGATTTCCCTTTATAGACAGGGTTTTGTTCAGTATATCCCATGACAGAGTAAAGCAGGGGAAGCGGAGGGTAAGATGCAGAAGTGATTAAGGAGTGTGAACAAAGGCAGTCCCTGCTCTCCAAAGCATTAAACGTTGTAAAGAAGTACTTAAGATAAGGATTTATTGCTGAACAGCCTCTCGGCTGTGCCTTGCCAGGTTTCACATCACTGACTGAACAAGCCAGTGACTGCAGATTTGCGTCATCAAAGCCCAAAGCAGTGTGTAGGAATTCAGGTGTGAAGGATTCAGCAGGAAGGCTTATGGAAGGGAAAGCCTTTCCTTTTCCTAAACTTTTCCAAGTGGAATCTGGCTATTCCCATTCTCTTACCTGTAGAGGCAAACCCACCAATATCCAGGTAGTCTGGGCAGGATTACTTGCACTGACACGGAGAAAAAGAGATGCCATCTACTGCATCCCCATTACATCTGCTGTGTTCCTCTGGAATGGTGACAGGGAACTGGGGTTTTAATCGGTCTTTTAATACCCTTTTGAAGCCAGCAGTCATTATGGCAAGGAGAAGCTTGTTTACTTCACCTTCCCTCCATCATAGGCATTTATTTGCTCATTTTGGCTATCTTACAGCAGCCGCCTGTTTTCCTGCTAGGAAAGAGGTAGGAGAAACGAGGTGTGATTTATACAATTCTCTTTGCCCATCCTCCTGAAGCACAGGTCTTCATCTGTGCTGTGCCCTTGATGCAGCGAATACTGTCCTTGGTGTTGGCCAGCGTAACTGCACTCAGCTCTATCCTTGGGTGCCAGTTGTTAAATGGTTGCTTATGGCTTCTTGTGGTGCTTTCACAGAACCACATCTACATTCCCACCTCACTGTCACCTACGGCGTGGTACCTATTGCAAGGCTGCAAGGGTGAAAAGGGAGCACCAGGAAATGCTCTGGAACTCCTAAAAATAGACTAGTCGGAAGAGAGGAAGGATGTGGGAGGAGAGGGAAGATGCAAGAGAGCCTCTCGGAGCTTTTTGTCAGACTTAGGAGCATTAAAAGCAAGAGATGAGAGCACCTACTCGGGTCTGCAGCATCATTTCCGTGTGTTCCAGTGTGAGTCACTCTGTGCCCTCAGCTTTAGGGACAAGTGAATCAGTGCTGCTAAAAAGCCCCACAACACAAATAGCCTGGGCCCTACTCAGTGCGACAGCTTGGAACCAGCTGCCTTTGGGAACCCAGCAAGTCCAACTGATGTTAGATAAGTTTCTTCTCAACTTCTCGGAGTGCTTCTGGGTTTCACGTTACTGAGGAAGATTTAAAGCGCTCCTAAAAGGTCAGTTCTCATTCAGATAGTTCAGGCAAGGAGAGCTGGAGTCATTTGCTAAGGGCAAACCTTTGACCACTGCATAAAAGCAGAACTGAAATAGCTTTGTGGAGCGTGAGTTTCGCCTTCAAGCAGCCTGGGCGTATCAGAGAGATTTGATATAAACTTTATCCCAGGGTAACAGAGTTTATCCTTATTGGAGCCGTTCCTGTTGTTCCATTCCTTACTCAGGCTTTATTGGCTGGCGGTGGTGACCAGAGCTAGATGGAAATCTGCTGATGGCTCATAGGAGCCGTCCCAGAACCAGCTGTTGAACTGTGCTTGAAAACCGTGTGTGGAAAGCACATTTAAAAGTCAAATTATAGATTAGTCACAGTTGGCTCAACTGCCTTGAGGACCAGAGGGCAGTAAAGCAGAGCAAGTAGCTGTGTGATTGTAGTGCAAGCACGTTAGTTCTGTTTGGTAGGTTGAGGACAGGCGATGTGGTTGGAAGATGGAACTTGGAGCTTGTGCTGTTAGAGTGTCCTGTCCCTACATCCCTTGTCCCAAGCCCCTCTCCAGGTTTCCTGCAGCCCCTTCAGGCACTGGAGCTGCTCTGAGGTCTCCCCTTAAGGAGCCTTCTCTTCTCCAGGCTGGACCAGCCCGATGCTAGGGGGTGGTTCAGGAAGTTTCAAGCCCATCAGGGACTGCAGAGGCAAGGTGAAGCTGTTGCCTTCAGTTGGGCTCATGCTGGGGTCCTGTCTTGGTCCTCCTTGGTCCTCCTCAGCACTGGGTCCAATGCTTCTGTGTTGTGTGCTGCTGCCATCCAGAGCCCACTGGGGTGAGGTGCATTTGAAGAAGATGCTTCTACACACGGAAGGTGAAGGCAATAAATAATAAATGCCATGAATTAAGAATGATGCTCCAAAATAGCTTCAGTTTCCAGCGAGAACCGCAAGCTACATCTGGAACAAATCTCTTTTCATTTCACGTTTACTCTTCCCTAGACATGGGCTTCAACGAGAGCAGGGTCTCTTCAAAAGAACCTGCAGGACACCGTTGTTCATAGGTCAGCGTTTCTGTAAGCTTATTCAGTTAGTCTTAAATGACTCTTGATAGTTCTGTAAAAGGAGGTGTCATTCTGGCTCTGGCTCTTACGGTGATCTACCTCACACGTGAGGACAAGCACAGGTCTACCATTGTTACATGAAGCCTTGTTTCGAGGAGGACCGAGATGATGGGAGCTATATCCCTGGGGATTGCTGTGGGGTTAGACATGGGTGCTTGGAACTAAGGGTGTAGCACTGTGGCCCTCATTTCAGACATCAGCAGTTATCTGAGACACGGCTGTGTTGTCAAGACACAGCAAGGAAAGAGGCCAAGGGAAAGCATCCCAGGGAGGTTTGGGGTAGGTGAACTGCTTGTGCCGTGGGGCATCTTCGTGAGCTCCAGCTTTGGAATGAACCAGCTTCTTGTCAGCAGTGGGTGCTCAGGAGGTGTTTTCTTTCCTGCTTATATTTCAAGTGCTGGTTTTAAGTCAATCGAGGGGAGGTCGTGCCCTGACCAGTCATGTTCTGCTCTGCTGCTCCTCCCCACCCCATCCCCATGGGAGAAGGGGCACATCCTTGGCTGGCATCGGGCAGCACAAGTCTGTTGAAATCAGTGCCAGTGACCCAAGGGTATTGCCTGGAGTGTTTGCTGTGGCATTACCAGGTTCTACCCGCACAAAGAGGCACTTGTGGCCCACTTGCTGGTTAATCTTAAAGCTCCTGCTTTGGAGTAAGAGAAAGCTCAGCTGCATTAGCAGAGAGCAGGACTGGGTGGTGAGAGCGTGCGTGGGGAATGGGGAGCAGAGGCAAACAAATACCAAGCCAGTGAGTCATGGCTCTTTACTTGAAAGCTCCACGCTGCCCCTGGAGCGATGTTCCAGCTCACATCCAGGCTGCAGATCACTACCTGTGTGAACTCGTGCATTACTCACCCGTCATGTGTCCGGCCAAGTCGTGCCAGGCTCCGTTGTCTGGAGTGTTTGTTAACCCCCGAGCCCAGGCTGGAGCCGGACTCCACTTGGACACAAGGGAACTGCACGGGAAGCCTTGGCCTTCAGGTAGTCTGGGAAGAGCCAGAAGGTCACTGGCTGTGTTGTAGCTGTGCAGGAGGTGCCTTT